CCTGTTTGACCTTGTTTTTGGGTTAAAAGACACCTGTCCACAACCTCTAACAGTCACCCTCCAAACTCCACTATGGCCAAGACTAAAGAGCTGTTGAAGGACACCAGAAACAAAATTGTAGACCTGCACCAGGCCTGGAATACTGAATCTGCAATAGGCAAGTAGCTTGGTGTGAAGAAATCAACTGTGGGAGCAATAATTAGAAAATGGAAGACATACAAGACCACTGATAATCTCCCTTGATCTGGGGCTCCACGCAAGATCTCACCCTGTGGGGTCAAAATGATCACAAGAATGGTGAGCAAAAATCCCAGAACCACATGGGGGGACCTAGTGAATGACCTGCAGAGAGCTGGGACCAAAGTAACAAAGGCTACCATCAGTAACACACTACGCCACCAGGGACTTGAATCCTGCAGTGCCAGATGTGTCCCCCTGCTTAAGCCAGTACACGTCCGGGCCCGTCTGAAGTTTATACCTATGATGAAAATTACAGGCCTCTCTCATCTTTTTAAGTGGGAGAACGTGCACAATCGGTGGCTGACTAAATACTTTTTTGCCCCACTGTACACTTTCTCCTTATACCTATGATGAAAATTACAGGCCTCTCTCATCTTTTTAAGTGGGAGAACGTGCACAATCGGTGGCTGACTAAATACTTTTTTGCCCCACTGTACACTTTCTCCTTATACCTATGATGAAAATTACAGGCCTCTCTCATCTTTTTAAGTGGGAGAACGTGCACAATCGGTGGCTGACTAAATACTTTTTTGCCCCACTGTACACTTTCTCCTTATACCTATGATGAAAATTACAGGCCTCTCTCATCTTTTTAAGTGGGAGAACGTGCACAATCGGTGGCTGACTAAATACTTTTTTGCCCCACTGTACACTTTCTCCTTATACCTATGATGAAAATTACAGGCCTCTCTCATCTTTTTAAGTGGGAGAACGTGCACAATCGGTGGCTGACTAAATACTTTTTTGCCCCACTGTACACTTTCTCCTTATACCTATGATGAAAATTACAGGCCTCTCTCATCTTTTTAAGTGGGAGAACGTGCACAATCGGTGGCTGACTAAATACTTTTTTGCCCCACTGTACACTTTCTCCTTATACCTATGATGAAAATTACAGGCCTCTCTCATCTTTTTAAGTGGGAGAACGTGCACAATCGGTGGCTGACTAAATACTTTTTTGCCCCACTGTACACTTTCTCCTTATACCTATGATGAAAATTACAGGCCTCTCTCATCTTTTTAAGTGGGAGAACGTGCACAATCGGTGGCTGACTAAATACTTTTTTGCCCCACTGTACACTTTCTCCTTATACCTATGATGAAAATTACAGGCCTCTCTCATCTTTTTAAGTGGGAGAACGTGCACAATCGGTGGCTGACTAAATACTTTTTTGCCCCACTGTACACTTTCTCCTTATACCTATGATGAAAATTACAGGCCTCTCTCATCTTTTTAAGTGGGAGAACGTGCACAATCGGTGGCTGACTAAATACTTTTTTGCCCCACTGTACACTTTCTCCTGCTACTGTTTGGCATTGGAGATGAAGACAGGATGCTCATATTTAACTGAAGGATATCATTCTAGGAGTAAAATGCAAATTTGCCTGAATCCATCATCTGAGTTTTAAAAATCCTTCTGACTACTAAAGTTTCACTTGTTATATTTTGCCTTTTTTTTAGGAATTCAAAACATGGGGATTTCCATTTTATTCCTACATCTACAACCCTGTGAGATAGGCTGGGCTGAAACAGTGACACGTTCTAAGTCACCCAGTGAACTTCCATGGTTAAGGGTTGACTTGACCTGGGTTTCCAAAGTCTATGCCAATGCCTTAACCATTACACAAACTGATTTGTTTGGCAAATATGAGCAGTAACATTTCAAAATGGGAAAGGAAAATAATAGTACCTTCCTACAAGATATCCATAGGGTGGGGAAGAGGGGGCAGGGGATCCATGATTTAGGAGGGTGGCTGAAACCAGATCCTTTTTTACATAGAACATGGTTGCCACTAAATGTTTTTTATTGTCCCTCATGGATACCCCTGCCCTCTGGAAGCAATGGTTATTACACATAGAAAACAACAGAGAAATCTAAAAACAAACAGCAATCACTATTTAGGGCCCTCTGTTCTTTCAACTTTTTTGTTTTGTTTTGCTGAGTTTGTAGACTATTTTAAAAATTAGCCTACTGCTGGAAGCAAGTCCTATTGATGAACCCTTGCATATGGCTAGAGCACATGTGGCTGAGCATTGGCTACTTGAGTTGTGCGCTGTTCATATCGCACAGTGGGAGAATATTACAGAAGACTCTTGTCTCGGCTACTTGAGTGCCACTTGGAAACTGTTAGTAATACGAAAAAAAGCTAAAGGACAATAGAAACAAAGGAGAGAAGAAACTGCAACTGTAAAGGTGAGATTGCATACTGTAGTAAGCAATAATACAGCTTGATTGGTTCTGGGTGAGTGTATTGTGTAGACTTGGCTATTGGTCATAAGCCATAGTTTATGTCTTAGCAATGTGCGAGCTCAGCCAATTGCAGTTTGTTTGGTAAACTGGTTCAGTACAATGTGAACAACGTGGAACTGCTTTTCTTAAAATGGTAAAGGCTACAGTCTTAACATAAGCTTACTTGGTTCTCAGCCTCACTGAACTCACTGGCATTACTCTTGAGTAGAGATGCATAGGATGGTGCTTTTAATAAAATTCCTCAGTCAAGAATGAGACAGAACATGGAGGCATGTGGATTTAAAATTGTAGAGTTGGAAGAGACTACTTAAGGTATCAAGTCCAACTCCTTGCAAGAATCCAGATAAAGCATAGTTGACAGACCAATGTCTGGTCTTGGACTGAACACATCCTGTAAATACATTCTGGGTAATTGGTTCTTTCTGTGAGCTTCCAGAGAAGTAAC